CCAGCTGCTTTGCTCGTATTCATTGCTCATGCATATGTTATGGCCTTTTGTTTTCGGTGGTTTTTCATTCGGACGCTCGCCTTTTTTTTGTATGTGTACAAAGTTCAGTTTCATTTTTGCATGGTGTGGATGCATAGCATGAGATAGCTACCGCCAGGATTCATTGTCACATGTAAAATTGTCATAGTGACTTGATTTCCTTACGTGCAATTTTCTGTATCGATTTTTCTTACCTTCTCTACAATATTTCGGGCTTTCTGACGAGGGAAAAATGAAGTAGCGACGTAGTAATCGCTTGGAACGGCGAGCAGTTTGAATTAGTCAAAATAGTTTGATTTATCAGTCACACTTTGCAAACACATACCGTGTGACAAATTCATTGTTCAAATATTATCTTCATGACTTTGGGGGGGGGGGGAAGTCGTGACCAGCCCAAAACGAAAATTTCTGCCATTTTTCTGTCCAATAAAATTTGACAATCGATAGCAAGATAAAGAAAAAACTAAGAGGCGAACGTATCAAAGGTGGCACATAATACATGTGAAAGCGTGAAGCATTGACAATGCGTACGTGCCTCCATTCATAGATACATTGTTAGAATATTGAGCATTTTGGCACAAGAATTGACAATGAAACCTGATGAAGAAAGCTTATGCGTATTTTCGCTTTGTTCACACAAATATTTAATCGCAACTTTGCGATTTCTTTAGTTTTGGAGTGTTTGTTTTTTTCGGTTCATTCTCTGGTGTTAGCCATTTATAATGTTACAATTTGGAAATCCAGTTCACAAGTTTTCGTATTAAACAGCTTCAACGGGCTAATCTCATTGAAGCCAATTCGAATCCATGTATCAATTGACAGGATTCGAGCAACCGATCTCCATATTCGTTTCGGTATTTTTTAATAGTCTTTGATTGGCAGACATTTCGAGTTTATCGGGAAAAGAAATTGCAAAAAGTCAATTCTGGCTCCGTATTCTTATTTTTGCGTGCCTGGCATGCTATTTAGTATTCAGAACGCGATATGCTTTTGCCAAGTTATACAATATTTATGTAAAACGTGTACGAGATACAGTCTCACACAGCGCTTGTTCACCCTTCCGTTTAGCTTTCATCGGATCCGCTTTCGGGAGCCTGGCAAAAGACAAATTACGAAAAAAGCAAATTGAATTTTTACACCATTTTTTTTCTTTCTTTCTTCAACAAAGTCATAAGTATCTTTTCAGCATAGTGTCTACGCCCTCGTTTTCAATAATTGATTTCCTTTTATTAGTCAATTTTATTCTCTCTCTCGCATTTCATTGCGTTCAGTCTCTTTTCTTTTGTAGTACATACAATACTCAGAGGCTGCTCGGTTCGATTTCAATTTTGTTGATAAAAAACCAACAAATGCTCCAGTTTTGCAAAGATGAAGATGAAATTTGAATAAATTATTGAAAAATTTGCGGCAAATAAATCAAAACTGATTTCAAACCGAATGGTTTTATGAACACGTTTTTATCGCCTTGAATGTGGTATTCGGATGAATAAAAGATAGTCAACAGTATCATCAATGCTCACTCATTATTATTGATGACACGTAGTCGCTGAACAGAGACTGGATTTCACCACAATCAAAACAAAACCGAGCTTCATGTGGATTGTTTTTTTTTGCTCTCGCCATGGTTATTGATTCACAATTCGATTCACAATGCGTGGGCAATGCACTCCAAGCATCGGTGAAAGGATTTTGTATGCAGCAACCGATTCATCATAAAGAAAATTGTAAATATTTTTGTTTTTTTTTGCAACTTTATTATTATTTCAAATGACCTAATGTACAAAGTTCGGTTTTAAGCGCATCTCTCAGACAAAACTTGATGAAATAATTGTGCACTTCAGTAATAAGCGAGAAAATGTGAAAACAAAAGATACAACCATTATTTTAATGACAATTATTTTGTGCTTTAATCTCTTTTATGCAGAAAAAAAAATGTTATTCTATTCAGTGATACTATATGCTAGAACAATGAATTCAGTCTGCAAATAAAAACTATTGTGCCTGTGGCGCTGCTTTTTTCTCCCTCTCACCTGTATTTGTTTACCGTTTAGCAGACAATCCCACTTGCGGTATTGTTATTCAACCTATTACTTGCATTGCATGTGAGCTAAAGCTATAATAAAAAAAAATCAACACAAAAGACAATCCGGAACAAAAGTTGAAAAATGAAGTACCACAAAAGCGGCTATAGAAGCTGTTCAGTTAAATAAAACTTACCTCTGTGACACATCGCATTACGCCTTGTATATACTGTACACAAATAATCATTTACGGTGGCTGTGACGCGACATCCACCTCGAAAAAAATTATTCCCATGAAAACCTCATGAGCTAAGGTATGTTGGGTTAAGTGTATACATGTCTGTAAATTTGATTACAAATTCTCGTCGGTTTACGCAGATGTAAAATTATTTAAATTCCAAATATTTGATGAACACATATGTATGTCATTATTCAATCTAGTTTTAAGCGATTGTTATTAAAATTGTGACAATCTTTGCATAACGATAGAAATCTGTTCTGGAGATGCAATATTCCAATTAAAATGTTGGACGGAGAACTATTTTCAAAGAATATTTTGAAATTTTTCGATATTTTGTTTTCATTCTTGAATTTCACAAATTATTTCTAATGCGATGTAATTTAAAATTGAGCCAGATTGTTCCATATATACACATTTCCTGCATTGACCTTTTTTTGAAAGCAAACATTTCATTTTCCCCAGGAATTCAAATAATTTTCTCGTGTTGTGTAAGCAAAAGTGTTTCGCAAACTCATTTTGACCTAATGCGCAAATTTTCCTTTCGAATGCTCCTTTGACTGTGCGAAACTTGATAAAGTAATTGTGCACTTCGACAATAACGGAGCAAAGTGCTCAACAAAGGGGGGCATTATTTTAATGATAATTATTTTGTGCTTCACCTCTTCTGTGCAAAAAAATATTATTCCATTCGGTGATATATGCGAGAACAATGAATTCAGCCTGCGAATAATAATCATTATGGTTGTCGGCATTGCAATTTCTCTTCTCACCGGTGTTTGTTAAGCATTTAATACACGATTCCATTTGTAGTATTGTTATTCAAGTTATTACTTTGTGTACCACAACATTGAAAAAAATTATTATAATGAAAGACAAACCGGAACAAAAGTTGGAAAAATGAAATAGAAAAAATGTTTAAAAAACGCTGTTCAGCTAAATAAAGCAACAAAACATAGTACATGTCATATTCTATATGCACGCAATATTGCTTTGATGCCGGATTCTTCCCCTTTTTTAGTGAACTTCGTAACAAAAGGATATTGGTGCGTGTAAAAGCGTCTCTAGACGTGAAATACTTATATTCAAAAATTAAGTTTTGGAAATCATTCAGGATGAAATTGGACCAATTATTAAGAAATGCTATCTCATAAAACTGTCCACATCTAAACTTAGATTGATCGTTCACGATTTTAGGCGTAACAAAGAAGAAATCTTTCCTGTCCCGTTCGTTTGATGTGTCCAAAGTGAAAAAACAATTTTTTCTATGATTTCTACTAGATGAAAGAAAATCGGAAACTTCATCAATGAAACTTTAATTTAAAATTTAAATCATACTTTTAGTTAATATCACCTAGGCTGTTTTGGTACAAATTATCATACCTTGAACGATTTTCATTCAGTTTAATTGAAAAGTTCAAGTTATCCATTTAATACTCTATCCTATCAAGAAGCGTCGATTTTTTTGTTATTGACTTTGTTTTTGGCATTTAGTTGAATTAGAAAAGATATTTCGGTAAAAGTTACAGAGAATTGTTGGTAAAATTGTGTGTAACTAAATTTTCGGGTTTTTTTAGTGAAAAGTTTTAGTTCTTTTATTAAAAGAAAAGTCATACACAATGTTAATGAACATTTTTTGTTATTTTTACCCAAAATCTAGAGCTAATTTTACTGAAAATCAAATTTTGTATAATTCTACCAAAATATTTAAGTAAGAATAGCTGAATCGTTTCAGTTAAAATAATCACGACTTTCCTTGATAGGATTACCTATCAATATAAGTTTTCACGTGTATTCCAATTTCTTTTACAGTCACACAAGTTGATATTACACAATAATATAGGATAGTTAAACTACATTTGAATGTTAATTTAAACTCGCTCAGATTTTGTCATCGAATCGCGCGAACCGTCCGAAATCATATGCACCGATACAATATTTTCAGATTTGAATCATCGGAATCTGTGTTATTGAACGTATCCATTTCAAGCCTGTCGAATGTTTTCAACTTGTAATATTTTGAGCAAAGGTTTTGTTGGCATCAGAGACCGGTGAGTTTTCAATAGTTCATAAACAGAAACAAACATGATCATGGTAATGCAACCATGGTAATGTAGCATTAATCAGTTCTTTAAGTTTTATGCAATTTGGATTTCAATCTCCAGTCAATGGTTGAAATGGACTGACGATTATTATTGAAATTTAGACTAATACCAGGCATCTTTTTTGCATTATCAATATGCTGATTTCAGTAATAACAACCTGTCCATTTTTTTCTTTTTCATAAAAAATTGTATGGGAGTTCTACTGTTTGGTGTTGTAACGCAAGCTAATGAGCTATGCACAGCTATGTACAACATATATGTATGAATAAACAGTTAGTCTTGAGTCAACCTTGCTTGTGTATACATCTTATTTACATTTCAGTGTCTTCTTTTTTGTTGCAACAGAGAAATTAACAAAGTGGAAAGTTGAAAAGTGGAACCATTATCGGTTATTTTTTTTACAATTTTTTATCAACAAACCCATATTCATATCGTGATTTACATTTAATGTTCAACAATCCATATTGTTTTCAGAAAAAAATGATAAATTACATACTGCTATTAAATTCAAATCATTGTTAATTCCAAAAACTGAACGCATCCATTCCAATCCTATCAAATGTTCTCATCTGTCAAGTTTTGGCAAAAGCATTAGTTGACATTTGAGACAGCCGAGTTTTGAACAGTCCATAAACAAAATCTAATAAAATAAATGAACACTTATTCAACAATTTGTAGTGATAGAAAAATTTCTAGTGATGGCCACCTTACCGCAAACACGTCATTGTTGCATTCAATCATGCGTTAACTTCAAAGGCACAACAAGTGACAAGTTTCACTTTTTCAAGTAAGACAAAAATCATTTATTGTTTATGCCAATTCTCTATATTCATCTTTTGCAGGCCTTCGATGGAACGACACATTCTAGATAAGTGGAAAGAAGCGATAAGCCATCATCAAGAGGTCAAAAATATAACATTCGTATGCAATTTACACTTCGAACGCGAATCAATGATTGAAATGGACGGACATCTGTTCCTAAAACATGGATCAATACCAAGCATTTTCGGCATTAATCCACCAACCGATTCGTATGTTTTTCACACACATTTTTGCTTTTTCACTTCATTTTCTTAATAGTATAACCGATCTTCTTAGCAGAGAAATCGAAAATGAAGAGATGGCTGTGAAAATGGAGCCGATTAGTACTGAGACCCCAAATACAGTTCAATTAGTCAACATCAATCGAATGTAAGTCACATTATGAATAATTTTTTTGTGTACAATATCCCTCCTTTTTTGTAAAGATAATGAATCCAATACTCTTACATCAAATGTCTATATTCCATAGAATACAGAATACATCAACGTTTTGTGATGCACCAACAGAGATAGATGAACAGATCGACAATGTAGACTCAGTTGAATGCAATGGTTGTTACAGACGCAATGACAAAATTCAATGTTTGTTGGCGAACATTGAGAAACTGAAGAAGTCACAAGAACAAAAGAGAAAGCTGATTTGTTACTGGAAATCTCTCGCCGTGTATTATAAACGCGGAAACAGAGAGCCGATTGTGGTTAGAGTTAACAAATTGAAAGAGAAATTTAAAATAACCCAAACTAAACCCAGGAAGCGGGTCAAACCAGTCAGTATTTCTAACAAAATTCTCGCCACGGAATTGATCAAAGTTGAAGGAAAGCCGACGGGACCAAAGGACGATGAAACGAACACACTATTCGAGCCAGAAACAACCACAATAGAACTAAATGAAGACGAAAAAGTTGAACATGATGATAAAGTTGAACCAGTTGAAGAAGTTGAAGAAGTTGAACAGGTTGATATCACATTGAAAAAGTCGGATGCCGAAATACTGAATTCCCTCCTCAAACGTAAATTACCCATTATTTCATTCAGCACTGAATTTTTCATACCAATTTGTCGCTTTTTTTCATTGCTATAGCATACAAATGTGGGAAATGTGACGAAACTTTTGAAAAACCCACTGAACTGTCACGTCACCTGAACACACACAGAGAACGCATACCGCCTAAGCCGACTATCAAGAAAACCTACGAATGTTACATTTGCAAAAGAGAATTCAAATTGTCGTGTAGCATTCAAAGACATATGAAAGTGCACATCGAAAGTAACGAAAAGTGTGATGTTTGCCGATCTGAGGTGACAGCTGATCAACATCTTTGCATCGAAGAGGAGAACATTTCTTGTGAATATTGTCCTCAGACATTTGTTTCAACCAAAAACCTGTTGGAGCATTTGGAGAGTGCGCATAGCGAGAAAAAGTTACACAAGTGCCTCAAATGCCATCAATATTTCCGGATGATGTTTTTGAAAATTATACACGAACGAAACCATGATATCATCACCAAACCATTCCATTGTGAGGTGTGTCCGAAATCATTCTCAATTCGAGATTCGCTTATGAATCACCGGCAAAGGGAACATGCAAATCAAGAAGAACGTAAGCTGATGAACTGAATGCATTATTAAAATTATTAACGAATAATATTTGTGTCTATTTTTCTATAGCCAAAAAACACAGTCATTTGTGCGATCAATGTGGCAAAAAATTTGTTAGACAATCCCAATTAAAGAATCACTTGCTCTGGCATTCAGAGCCCACAATCAAATGCCCTGACTGTCCGCAACTCTTTCGTACGAGATATACTCTGAAGAGACACAGTTACATACATCGTAATGACATATTCGTTTGTTCAATTTGTGGAGTAGAGCTATCATCACCGTATGGCATGAAAGATCACATGAGATATATACATGGTCCAATGAAAAGTTTATTCAAATGCAAAATCTGTGCAAAGCTGTTCAAGTATAAATACGATCTTCAGAAACACGTCAATGCACATGCAACAGGCAAAGGTAAGGTCGTTCTGGTTATTCAATAAAAATGTTCGTTCTGATTTTATGGAACACCTTTTTAATCTTAGTTTCTATTTGATTCTTCTATTGTTTCTATTACCAAGGTTTTCAGTGTACATTTTGCACAAATTCATACAAGTACAGAGGTGATTTGAACAAGCATCTGAGAATTCATCTTGGAGGAAAAATTTATGAGTGTAAAGAGTGTAATGAACGTTTTAGATTGCCCTTGGAACTGCAGAAACATTCCTTTGAGCATTACAAAGAGCAACAGATGACCGCCAACATTACAACAGAGGAATAACGAACAATTTCGATTCAACTGATTTTTCTTCCGAAATTTTAAAAACAAATCGATGCAATCACTTTGCGACATTTTTAAACCGATGACTAATAAAAAAAAACTTAATTATAAGTTAACTTAATTATAATCCACAGTTCTCTGTTGAGTCACGCTTTAATCATTTCCTTTTTCAAT